TCTGTATTTGCAAAGCTATAGGCCTGACAGCTCTTCCTGCGAAACCCTTTTTTGGGTCGAAAACGGCAGAACATGACGTCACTCTGACGTCATTTCCGGCCAACCTATCATAGCCTTTGGAAAATTTTTTAGTCACAATGTGTAAAATTGATGTCCGGGAGGGTACTGAAAGGTTGGTGACGATCGGCGCAGCGGTTCTGGAGATATATCGAAAAGTCTGGAGGGGGGCAAAAAACAGCCCCCCCCCCACCAGGTCGCGGGTTAAGGTTTTTCGAAGATAGCGTAAAAACGGCGGCGCAATTTGGCACAGCCTATGGGGCAACCTTTTTACATATGACCTGAAAATTTCAGGTCCGGGTGACCTTGGGTCAGGTCACCAGGTCAGAAAAACCGGTACAAGGTCATGGTCAAATTTCAATTTTCTTTTTGCACCTGTCCAACTCACAGTTTTCGACTGATTTCCTTCAAACTTTCAGGATGTGCTAAGTTCACCGAGTTGTATAACATATAGTCCGGCTTTTTTGAGGTCACTGACCTGAGGTCAGTTAGAGGTCATTACGTCGTAATGTTAAGCCTGTTGGAAAATACTAAATTCGGAAAATACTGGAGACTACCAATTCGTTCTATCACTTTTGTGCTTTGAAACCACGGTACTTAACAGCAGGTCACTTGGTGCTTCTTTGTTTGGTGTACTTATCCATGGGTCAGGTCAAATGAGGTCAACTGAGGTCAAATGACGTTTTTGCCAATAACTTGGCACATAATGACGCTAGAGCTTAAAAAATGGTACCTATCATTGTGTTCCTGGTGATCAGCCGAATCGAATGATATGCGATATGATGCAATTTGGTTAACTAGAACTTAATTTATTAATTTAAGTTTACTTAAAATTTAAGAAAAACTTGAAGTACACTTAAGCAAGCTAAAAAGTATATTATTCGACGCGCCTTGACGTGCTGAGTTCACTGGTGCTTTTCTTTTTGCTCTATCTTAATTAGATCAAAAGTTATAAGCGAAAAACTTTTAACCTGTTTTTAGCGAAATTTTTACATTTATACCCCCTAAAACCCCCTAAATATTGACCTAGAGCAACCAAATTTGCACAGGGGCGAGAACTCCAGGGGGCCCACCTACCTACCAAATTTGGTGTTTCTAGGTGCCATAGGAGCCAATCGCGAGGGGGGGGGCGCATCGACCCCCCCCCCTGCCAGGCCGTGTTATGAAAAATGCCCTGCCAGGGCGAGGGTTAATCTGGCATATTGTAAATTATCTAGCACAATATCCACGCTCTCCGTAAGCAAATTGTTTATAAATGCAGATACCCAGCGCCTCAGTCTCAATGTTCTTCATTTTTGTCCATTAGTTTTGGATCCCAGCGCAATGTAACCCGTTCATTGGGGGCGGTATCTTGCGCCATATCACTTGCACTGTGACCTGGAAAGAACAGGCAGTCTGAGGGGGGGGGAGAGGGCATGTCTGGGGAATGCCCCAGGGAGCGGTTTGATTGCCAGTCTGCCCAGTAGCGGCGGAACACCTTTCATTAAGGGGGGGGGGGGGCACTGCTGACTTTTGGTCCCATTCTTTTCATGCAACCAGCAACGCCCATAGGGCTAATGTTAAAATGCCAAAATCAAGGGGGGGGGGGGCACGGTGACCCGGTGCCCTCCCTGTTCCGCCGCCTATGAGTCTGCCTGCTACGGTCACGTTCTTTGTGCGTCCAGTGCCACTGCAGGCACGATACCACTGCACCCGGCGGCTACGGAACGGCTACAATACCGACAACGCCGACCCCTATCCGGGCGCGCGTGCACGGTCAGCACGGCACGCGAGTCACGAGAAGGGAGACGAATTCGTAGTGGGGTGTCCAATCAGTAATCACCCTGACTGATGTAAAATCAAATCGGTGACTCGGGCACAAGATGCATCCAGACATTGTAAATGTTATAAGGATACTCATCTGTTCATACGTATAGGTGACCTTCTTTCAAGTTGACAAACTAAATGTATTATCAACTAATCTCCGCAGGAGAAGGAAGAATCATATTGACTCCGATAAAGGCAGGTGGTGCGAGAAGTTCACTGCGAGACAGGAAACCAACCCGTGTTAGAATCGATAATCTTGGAATCAGCGGAACAAACATTGCCGCAGGAAAGCTCGCTCTGTCGGTCTGTCGGGCGGGATAAACCACCTCTGTGCACAAAGTCACAGCGAGCCGACCGGATGTGTGCCCCGTGTTTTACATTTCGTCCAACATCCGGACCCGCCGCTGATCGAGAGGCTATAGCAGAAGAGATGGTAAAGTCTGTTTAACCCTCGCCCGCACATGCCATTTTCCCATCCTAGAACGCACATGGGGGGGGGGGGGGGGTTGCCACCCCCCGCGCCATTTCGTTCCTGTTGGAGATAGAGCTTAGCAGTAAGGACCAAAAAGATTCTTTGGGAAGAGACGAATCCAATGATACCCAGTTTTACCTTCTCAGGTCAGTCATTGACCTTCCAGGTCAGGTCAAACTAAAAAATGTTGCTGCTTTGGGTCACCGTTGGATATCAAGTGCGCTGCTTATCGAATACCGATGACGATGCTGTTTTCCGGTGCCAAGCCAGCTAGAACCTCTTTGTCACACTATCCGACCAGAATTTTGCTGCTGAGGTCATTTCAGGTCAAGTTAGGTCAAGGTCAATTATATGTGTTTGTATGTCTGTGTGTGTCTGTGTGTATACTGATGTGTGCACCGATTGTTTTTGGGTCCATATCACATGAAATCATGATCTGAGAAGCTTTTACCAAAAATGCAGTCAAAAAAACTTCACAAAAAGTAAATTCAGCTTGCCTAAAACGCAATTATCTTAGATGACCTAGGTTGACCTTGACCCTGACCTTGACCCCTGTACATCGTCGAACAACATGTTCCATGATAGGTGGGAGGTAAGACTGGCAAAAAAGGCCGAAATCAGGGTGTCAAAAGCTCACAAGGCCCATGGCAAACGCAAGATGTTGAGAATTGGCCATTTGGGTCATGACATGACCTGAAAAACAAGGTCATATCTCCGAAACCAAAAATCACAGAAAATTGAAATTTTCAGTGGACATCAAGAAAGGATAGACGAGCAGCTATACGAAAAATCAGCCTTCTAGCTCTAAAAATGTTGAGTGCAGAGCAGAAAGACTGCCGGGGGGGGTGGCAACCCCCCCCATGTGCGGACGAGGGTTAAGAGCTAGCCGATCTCGATGATTTGTCGAAATAATAATGCCTGGAGGGCGCGGGAATATAAGAAAATTTCTGGGCAGACGGAGAGTGTGGCCGTAGCCGAACACGCTGAACGTCTCTGATGACACCTCAGCGGTCACTCCGTCAGCCCGACGTCAGGTGAGCTGACAGGGTGTGGCGATGAGGAATGAATGAACGGCTGACTCACAACCGTTCTGACAGGTAGACTCAGACAGGTGGACTTCCCCGGGCCAAAGTCAGCCACCCAGCCCTGACTCAGCGGACCTGTGTCCTGTCCAAGCAAACGTAATCTCTCACACAAAGCTACCGGAGCTTCTGGCCCGGCGAGCTCTCTGAGACGGTCCGGCCGGGTGACGGAGCTCCTGCTGCGCAAAACACGCCGCTGGCACGGCGCACGGCCGACGGACGAAGGCCAGACGCCGACGGGCCGCGTTCCGCTCACCCACCACCCGTCAAAGAGACGGCTGTAAAACGACTCACACCCACATTCCCGCCTCGGGCCGGCTTGTAAAGTGGTGTTTGATGATAGCGAAACGCGTGCTCGGCAGACGTAAATTTAGCAGTGTTCGCCAGAGCGTAGTTTGTGGCCTCACAAGCTACGTGTCATTTGGTGTTATTAGCATTCACAGCTGCTGTCTTAATAGCATTTAATTTCTTGGCCAGAAAAAAAAAATAGACAAGAAAGATGAACAGCCATATAACCCAGGAGCAGCATAATTGAGACATCACACATAAAAATGCTCTGATTAGCGTAATAATAACCTCTTAGAAGACAATTATAAGATGCAGAGCCCGGGATTCAAGACAAATGGCTGGATCCACGACGGTTTAATTTAAACTAAACACGACGAAATGAGATTGAAACGTCTGTTTTTCAGGCAGACCAGGCAATTTCGTATTTCCCAGAATGCACTGCCAACTCATCCGAGACCGCAAATATAAAACGGCGCTTTGGCTCCTCGCCGGTCGCACTATCTCTATGCCAGTTTGAACTCGCTACTTCAAACAATGCAGCCGGGCCCGGCGACTGTCCGTCTTTCAGCGCGGACCCATTATGTCTGTTCTCGAGGCGCCCCAGTGGCGATGTTTGGCCGTTGGCAGGGTCGGCCGCGCCCTCCGCCAGCCTGGAACGCGCCGGTGCACCCGGTGCCCCGTCGGCGCCCCCGTATACCACCCGTGGGCCGCTCGTTTGGAGAGCACTAAACCTGCTGTCCAAAGTGGGCCGCGTTCTCCTCTGGTCCAAACTCTGACCATCCGACCGCCGGCGGAGTGGCACTGTCTGGGCACAGCGGCGTCAGCGAGCACGGACGGTACGCCCGGGCCGGAGTACGTCCCGGCACGTCCCGGCGGGCGTGGCTGTCATTACCGGCCGCGGACGGTGGCTGGCGCCGCCCTAACGAGCGCATCGCTCCTCGACCACCTCCCAGTTAACGAACTTGGCGGCCGACGGCCACCTAATGAGCCCCACTTCCACCGACCGCGGGGGAAACACTGAGTGCCAGACTACACAGCGCTGCCAAAGTCTGCCGACTTCTGGTATCAGAACGTGACACGTGACAAGCTATTGAAACGCAATGCAAAAATGAAAGAATGTTCAATATCAGGTTCTTGTTATCGATCGTTATATGAACGACCGTTTGCTGTTGTTTACCGCTGATTGTCCAACACCTGTACAGACTGTACCCCTGTCCCCCGACAGTCTCTGACTATCCCCTGTTCCTGTAGTGTATACAGCAGCTGACTGTCCGTGTTCCGCTGACGTCTGACAGCTGCTGTCGCCGATCACGGGCGCCGAGGTGGCGTCCCGCGAGTTCCGCGTCACCGGCGACCGGGTATCGGTGGCCGCCCTGGAGGCCTCCGTCATCAGCGGCCTGCAGCTGGCCGTGTCCCGCCGCGCCGAGAACGAGTACGCGGCCGTCACCAGCGTCACCAGCCGGCTGACGGCACAGTACCAGGTCAGTACGCATCACCAGGTCAGTACGCGGCCGTCACCAGCGCCACCACCCGGCTGACGACCCAGTAACAGGTCAGTACGCGGCCGCCAGCGTCACCAGCCGGCTGACGGCACAGTACCAGGTCAGTACCAGTGCAGCATCAGGTTAGTACGCCGAACCACCGCGGTACCAGGTCTGTACGCGGTAATTCAGGTAAGTATCAGGTCAATATGTTGTATTTCAGGTCAATATCAGGCCAGTCTGTGGTCACAAAGTAAGGACTCGTGCCACAGGACGCACCGAGCCATACGGCCGAGTCTCCCGTGTTTGTTTTCTGGCAGGCCGGTCCATCTGGCGTGGCCCTGGGGATTATTTACGACCGCACTTGTCCGTGCGCCGCCGGCCGACCGCTCACCGGCGGATGGTCGCACAGCTCGGTCAGACTGCCTCAGAGGGCTGCCGGGGAGCGGCGGGTGGCGGCCGAGTCGATACTGACGGACCCGACGTCTGGCCGGCGGAACCCTAACTCGTCTGAGCCAGAGCTGCCGGACGGACGGGCTGCAGCCATCACATCCGCTCAGATGGCTTATTGGATGGTTTCCGGGTGGAGTGTGGGGCGCCGTGGTACCGGCGGGCTGGGCTGAGGGGAAGCGGGCCGCTTAGGACGGCACCGGATCCCACCGGTGACCTATGGAGGCTCGGTGGCACGCGAAAAATGAAAATGAATGATTTCGCATTGACGGCCCCGGATATGGGTTATTATATCAGGTGTCATTGAAAGGTCAAAGGAAAGTTAGACGGAGTTAGCATGCAGTCGATGATTTCGACAGTGTTCCGAGAAACAACCTCTGATCTCGAAGATAGACCGGAGTATATCAGATCACTCGTCTGCAACTCAGGGCTGCAATATCCTGTGGCAAATGTTGGCCGAGTGCTGAACTTGGCCCGGGCTATTTCGGACGTCCTGGACTACTGAACACCGATGTTTGCTTTTTAAGGTCACTTCAGTCCGAAGGACAGCGACAGCCAGAGCAGAGCTGTTCAGATCCCGGATGGACCGGTCCATTTCTTGTAAAACTGCACGGCCACGTGTCAGTGATAAACCTATTTTAAAAACTACCTACCTTATAAAAAATAAGTTAGCTGATCAAACAATCTACAAAATGCAATGAAGTATCGTTAAAATGACCTTATTCCGAAATCATAAATAAAGATCAGGCTGCGATGAATGTAAAACGTTTTTACTCGGAGTCATAAAAAAATCATCCATATATCGTACATACGTGAAATTGTTAATGTCCCAGTTACACTTACATTTAGAATGTATCAGTTGTCATCCGTCGAACACGTCGCCTGTCGTCGGCCCGTCGTACGCGGTGTCGTCACCCTGTCCAGCTGACGGAGTGAGGCTGAGGTCACCGCTGATCACTGGTCCCGGCCGCGGCCGAGCCGCCCGCCGCTCCCCACGGAGCCGGCGTGTCAACGGCGCGTCAATGGCACAGTCGCCATTCGACAGCGCCAGACGGTCAGATCAAAGGCCTTCCGCCGCTGAAGAAGAGAGACTCGCTGAGGCGATAGCTGACAGGTTCTCACTGATTTACAACAATTCATTATAGGATGAATCATTTTATTTTGTAGCTCGAATACCTCAAGTTGAAGCAAATGGAACAATAGGTACCCCACCTTTTGCTGTTCATTTATTTGTCTCTTCTATGCCTTTCTCCGCGTAAGTCACAAAGACATGCAGCAGCTCATCCTCGCAGTCGCCGTCAATCACCTGGTGTGCTCCCCCCTCCTGACCCTCCCACCGCGGCCGGACGTCTGGCCAATCTGCTCCCGCCTCCCCTGACCCTCCCTCCCACTGTCTACCGACAGGAGGGCCTGCTGGACCTGACGCTACTGTTCAGTGACGGCACGCGCACGCCGCTGTCGGACGTCGAGTCGTCCAACTACGCGCTGGACGTGGACACGCTGGCGCCGCGCGTGGTGGCGCTGGCGCCGCAGACCGGCCACCAGACGCGCCTGCTCGCCATCGCGCCCGGAAAGGGAAAACTCATCAAGGTGAGCTCAGACACTCGGCCGAGACGGGATAATCGGCGTGGGAGACCAGGGCAGGTTGATGTCAAATGCATAAATTGGCCTCAAGCTGGTTTCCTTGAACGTTCCCTGGAAGTTTGTAAGAGTTGCTGCCTCGTTCGTTGAACGACGAGGCAACTGCGCATGGAAATATGATATCCATTACGTCCATTACCGTTGTGGTCCACTCAACGAATGAAGCCATTCACTCGCCTCAGTGGCTCGCTGAGCCTATTTTAAGATTTCATTTAGCGCGGCGTCATGTCGGGTCGTCGCCCGTAACTTCGATACCGGCGCCGGGGCTACTTGGCCGTCTGGGCCGGGTCATAACTAGCCTCTCGGCGGTGGCGACAGTGGCCGGCAGCTCCATTTCGACTGCGCCGCTCGTTATTCAGATTAGTGGACTCCGTTCTGAGCCGAGGGGTTCTGCGGAGCGGCCGGCCGTGTCCGCTATCTACCCGACCGTAACTCACAGCCCACCCGGCGAATGGCGCCGCTCCTCAGCGTCCGGCGGCAGAGGGGCTGCATCCTCTCCTCCCCCTCTGTCTCTGCATTCAGTCCACGCGTCCCATCTCTCTCAACTCGACTCTCTCCCGCTCTTCCCGTCACCCAATCAAGCCATCTCTCTCGTTTACGCTGTTTAGTAAACGTCTCGAGTCTCGCTTATGCACCAACAATGTGAATAAACAGGTAGCGTTGATTTCTGGCCCCGACCTGTTTAACTGAGGCTGTCGCTCGTCCGCTCAGGTCTCTCTGGAGATGGACGAGGCGTGTGGGAAGCGGCGCCACGAGGAGCTGGCCACCACCTACGTGCACGTGGAGGTGCAGTTTCCAGGCCAGTTTCTGTCCGAGGGCATCCAGAACGACGCGTCGCACCTGCTGGGCCGGCCGGAGCTGTACGAAGGGGAGCGGCACGGCCTGCAGCAGGTGGGAGGACACGCCAGACACATACGGAGGACAGGTCACAGACAGCTTCAGCGACTGACAGCATCCGCGAGACAAATCACAGACGGACCACATAACAGCTTCAGTGACAGACAGACCACTTAACAGCTGCAGCGACACACGGATGGGCCACTTGGACTAATGCTTCAATAGCCCCACCGAAACATTTCAGAAAATTTCATTCCGCTGGAATTCTGGACGGTGTCGCTTGGGTTTGTCACATGTTTAAAGCGCCATTTTAAGGTGATTAACTTCAAAGGTCAGGCTCTGCCACGGTGTCAAAACAGTTCTGTCGCGTGGTAAAGTTCAGTTTCCGTGGCTTTGGGGCACTGTCAAAACTTAGAGGCAATGACCTTTAAAGGCCTTTGGATAATTCATCTAGTGCCTGTGATGTGTCTTGAAAAAGAAAATCTAAACGTTTACGATGCCATCTCCAGCTTCAAAGTATTACACAAGTTGTCTTAAAAGCACATAACCATGGTGTAAATGTGTACCTATCACGTCTAAACCGATAAAAGCTCTCCCAGGGCTAACCCACTAAAAATTATTTCGTTCCCTCTCTCTTTCCCTGCTCGTTTCCTCCGCACCTCACCGTCCCTACAAAGCTGAAGATTGACCCCACCAATCACCTCTCCCCCTATGTTCAGGTGCTGGAGGACGCCGTGAAGGCCGGCAAGGACGGCGCCTCGGTGTCTGTGGGCGCCAAGCGGCACCCGCACGGCTCCGGCCACCGGCTGCAGCCGCTCGAGGTCGGCATGTTCATCCTGCTCGGCGTCTTCTGCGTGGTCATCGCCATCTTCATCGCCGCCTGCTTCGTCTACGCAGGACAGGTGACTGAGGCGGTTAGAGTCTGATGATGCGGTCAGAGATATCATGATCATTATCGCTGCTGTTGATGCAAGTACTGGCAATTAGCTATTTCCCAACGAATGCTGGATAGGCGTTAGTTATTTAGTATTTTATATTGCGTAGACATTGGTAATCCGAACGAAAATCTCATTCATGAGTTTTATCTCGACATATCCTCATGCGTCGTATAACTCGCAGTCTGACATGTCAATATGCGTCCACCGTCTTCCTAACCCAGGTGAAGCGTGCCAACAAGGAGGGCGGCGTCGGCGGCGCGCGCCAGTCGCACGCCAACGCCCAGGACTGGGTGTGGCTGGGCCGCTCCAGCCTGGAGCACGTGGCCACGCGCAGCTCGTGCTCGCAGAGCCAGCTGGCCGTCAGCGACATGAACGCCAACGTGGACCGGTTCCCGCCGGCCAGCCGCGAGCGTGACCTGCACATCACAGTGAACCCGCAGCAGCCGGCCGGCTCTGCGGCGGCCGGCGGCCAGCAGCAGCGGCTGCAGCAGCACCAGCAGCTGCTGCAGGAGCGCCAGGACCAGCAGCAGCAGCAGCAGCAGCAGCAGCAGCAGCAGCAGCAGAAGAAGCAGCGGAGGAAGCCGCCGCCGCAGAAGGCCGTCGACAGCAGGACATTTGTGAAGAGCCGCTCCGACCAGCCACTCTACCAGAATGTCGGGTACGTGTCTCACTGTCCGTGTGTGTGAGTGGAGGGGCGGGGCCGCAGGCTAGGCGGGGATGGTGTCCTTTTTGCAGGTAGTTTGGTCTACGCAAAGATACGCTGTTCCCTTCGGTTAACAGTTAACACGAGTATAACCTGGCTTGACCCGCAATGCCTCACAACATTAGAACATCTTGCTAAAAAATGACTGAACGTGCCTGAACATCAGCTGAAAAAAAAATGACTGGTAACGATCAGGTCCATTTCAGACAAAAGTGTATAGGCCGACATTGTTTACGGATATTACCCATATTCCAGATGATATCCATTGCATTGTTCTTTGAATGCTTTTGCTCTGTATGCTGAGAATTGATGACCATGGACATTGGTATAAAACACGTAGCTGTGCTAATACTATGTGTTACCCAATGATAAAATGTAATATAATATTTATTAGCCTTTCATCCCACAGTAAATTCTGTCCAGACTGTCGAGTATTAACGACCGTCGTAGAAACTTTTGTCCGACGGCTGCTCGAAGATCTGAAGTCGCTTCATTTATAAGCTCCGACGATGTGCCAACGGCTAACAATTTCAGCTGATAACTAGGCAGCCTGGTGCCAATGATAAGAGCTGACTCATTTGCTAAGTAAAATTAGATGGCTCACCTTGTCAAAGTTTCGCCGACATGATACGATGTGACGACCAGCCATAGGGACAAAAGTTAGCTGTTTAACCAAAAAGGCTGTGTGAGTGTTACCCTTGGCTCGATCCCAATGTCCCATACCGACCCCCTGGATGGACACTAGACAGGGATGGGCAGTGGGCACCCAGTCCACCCTGAGACGAATATGTCCGCCCGGCGCCCTTCACGGGCCGCCGGCCGACACCGTTCCACTCCGTGTCTCGCCTCGGCTCAACTCCCCGCCCCATCCATGTCGCTCGTTGTCATTCACACCCTCCGACTCCTCTCACCCTCTGCAGCCCCTCCCGGGCTCTGAAGTCCCCACTCCACACGGGCCGCCTCCAGTCGAGTTACCGTCTCGGACTGGCACCGCCCCGCGTGGTTGGCGTGGCTGCGGTGGAGGGACGGGACGACTCGGCACGGCCGCCGACAGGGCGGAACGGCACAGGGCGGAACGGCACGCCGACGGACGTGGGAGGTGCTGACGGGGGAGGAGAGAGAGAGGGGAGAGGGAGAGAGAGAGGGTGAGAGAGAGAGAGGGAGAGAGAGAGAGAGAGAGAGAGAGAGAGAGAGAGAGAGAGAGAGAGAGAGAGAGAGAGAGAGAGAGAGGAGAGAGAGAGAGAGAGAGAGAGAGAGAGAGAGAGAGAGAGAGAGAGAGAGAGAGAGAGAGAGAGAGAGAGAGAGAGACGTGGTCAATCCCTGGAGACTTCTGCAAGAGGAGAGGTACCGCCCCAGGCGCCGGGTTAAAGCGCTGTTAGATAGACTGGATGTGGCAGACGCTCGCCGGGGGACCAGCCCTTGTCAGGCGTGGTGGTCTCAGTGGACCCACTGATAGCGGTCACAGCGGTTGAAAACGACCGGGATTGAGCCCTAGGTGCCAGCTCCCGGCGCTTGAACGTTCGGTCGGATCGGAGTCTGAGGCGGTGCGAGTAGTCTCGCAGTGGTGCTACAAAGCTCTGCAGTTTTACTGTCTGCGATTGACGGCGTGACAGTCCGAGGACCGCCGCCGACCTGTCAGGGTGTGCCATGAAGGTGCTCTTGGACCTAAAATGTTGGTCTCCCGGGACAGATTCCTGGGCAATGCCACCCGCTGTTAACTCTTACTGGGAGAGCTCTGCATGGGACAGTCAGGGTGTGTGTGAGACGCTTCTGTGGCATCTGGCGCCCTTCTGTGAGCCGGTCGACCGCCGGTTACCGAACGTGGACGGCTACCGTCGAATTTCATCTGACGGCTCATGGCGATACACCACCGACCGTCCGTCTGTCTCGGCCGACCGCCGACCCATGCTGCACTTCACGCACACCATGCCAGGCGCCCACCAGCCGACCGCCGACCCATGCCACTCCACGCACACCATGCCAGCCGCCCACCTGCCGACGGTTCGTGTCACACCGGTCACCTATCACTAGTCGCACCAATCGACCTTCGATGACCTGACCTATAGCCTTACTCAGCTATCAGTCAAACGTCTCTCGGCCACTGCGGATCCTGAGGCCCGCTGAGAGCGTGGGCGCGAGATTTTGACGAGCCACCTGGGCCTACTGCCGGGAATAAAACTGCCGCGTGCGGCGCATATCGTGAATCGGAGGTACCTCTGAGTAACTAAAGAGGAGATACTGAATTCGATCTCCTGAAGCCTGTGGGGCTCTATGATGTGTCCGTGCGTGCCTTGGTAGATTACAAGCTAGGTGATGCATCATGCATCATACTGATTCACTTCGTTATTTATTGCTACATCTTTTGGCTTTTACCCAAAACGTAAACATCACGTAGTTATATCATTTCCGACGGCTGCAATTGGGCGAATATTGCTCGCACAGTGACGCCCACGTAAATAAAATAGAGATCCATAATTTCGAAAATACTTTTCAAGACCGATAGCGCATAGCTAATAAAAAGGTTTCTCGGACCTTGCACCATTTTTTGTATTTCCTTGTGCTTTTACGGTTTACCTACTCATTACTATTGCTTAAAAAGATCATTATTTGATCCATAGTTGCGCTGACTTATGTCATTTCCATATTTCCCCCAGCATTTATATACTTTGTCTAATCAGACAATTGACCTCCGGGAAGTAATGCCAGACTGGAGACTTGCCAGGTGATTTCAGCGCGACATCCAACCCGTCCATAGCTACATACAGCGAATATGTGTATACCTACTGGACGCTCTTTCAAAGCAAAGCTGGTTAGTCACGCCCGCTGACACATCCTGGAATCTCACAGAATGCACAAACCTTCCCCAGCGACCCAGAATACCAAAGTCCGACATGGCCGGCCGCTGCGGAGCTGTGTTTCGCTCCTGTCACCGCTCGGTTCGCGGTCCAGTCATCTGGCAGGCACCGCAGACCCGCAGACCGCCGTGCCGCTCTCCCCCACGGCGATATACTGCGCTGACTGCCGACCGTCTCCATGGCAACAGGCGTCGAAGCCGACGCGGCCCCCATCCATCGACTTGGTGGGCAGATTCGTCCGCGGCAAGTGGCCGACCTGCCGCGCCGGCCAGACTCAAACAAACAAAGCCATTAGGGCCCGAGTAGCCGGCAGAAATGGACGCCGCCGCCGGCAACGAGCAGAAACCGAGCTCGATGGCAGACTCCGAATTAGATTTTCGTCGAGTTTCACCATTTCAGTCGAAAGAAATCAGCGGCGGATACCAGAGGGCTATCCAAAAGAAATGAGTTTGGAAGCTGCGGTGAAAAAAATCCGAGCAGTCGTAGCTAACTATTCAGGGAAGGAAATGTGTTTGGCGGCTGTTTCCCGATTAGAATGAGCGATGTTTGAGCGTGACTTGATAAGCCGGATGTTAGTTTTCGTCCGCTGTCCAAGTCTACAGATATTGGAAATAGGAGCGCTGCATTCAATGCTACAGAGAGCACGGACATGAATGCAGCAGAGCTCAGCGGCGCAGTCTCATAACATGAATGAATATTGAATAACTATAGGCTATCGTACTTATCAACTGCACTCCGCTTTGGGTGTATGCTAAATAAGGGGCACGTGCCCTTGAACGCCAACAAACAAACAAACGTATATGTCAATGCCAAATTCTGTGGGTGGGTAATGTCTAACTATGTGCATACTGCATAAATACATACATAAGCACTCGCAGCTTCCGAGCTGTGCAGCGGTCCACGCCGGCACTGCAGCCCGCAGCTCCCTGATTCGACGGCGGTCCACCCCACTGCAGCTCCCAGGCACTGCAGCCAGAGCGCTGCTGCAGCTCCCATCCCGACAGCCTGCTGATCGTCAGAGCGTGGCCGGAACGCCCGCTGTGACCGAGCCCGACCGCTCGAAAATTCCATGAAAGGTCGCTGTGGCACGGATGAGAGATTGGGCTTTGATTAAAGTTGAGCTACCAGAAAGAGCAGCGGCTGCGGGCTGAAGCCAGGCGTCAGCTGCTGGCATTTATCAGACTGGTCGGCTTCCAGGATATGTAGCCAGCGATCTTCTGCCCCCGTGACTCTGTAACACGCACCGCCTGCTTCTGAACTTCTCTAATATAGCAACTTGAAGGAAGCGGGTGTGAGTGCCACTGATGTTGTTATATACTCCTGTGGCTGCAGGACACATCTGAGGGTTTGCCCAGACCCTCTGAACCTGACCTTCCATTACCAGCCAACATTAGATTGTCATCAAAGAGAAGCGTTCCCTTTAAACATCCAGTTGAAAATGCCCCAAGTACCATTCACAACGTCCGTATCAGTCAATGCTGTCTGGGGTACACGCTGTGACCTCGTCCTTCCCTCTGTGCCGTAATGCCTAGTGACGCGCTGTGACCGTCCTCCCTCTGTGCGCCGGCAGTTGTCTGTACGAGGAGGACGGGGAGGAGGAGCTGCCCTCGGAGTCGGAGGACACGTCCTGCGCTCCGCCGCCGGTGCCCCCGCACCAGGCGCCGGCAGCAGCGCCGCCCGGCGGCCGCCAGGCGGCGCCGTTCGTCCGGCCGGCGGCGCGCCAGGCGGCCGTCCGACGCGCCAACGTGGTCGAGAACCCGCTGCTGCGCGCCCGCTCCGAGCCCGAGGCGCGCCAGGCGGCCGCCGAGCTCGGCCTCGGCATGGACTACGACGAGCTGATGCGCTACTTCGACAGCCTCAAGGAGTCAAACGCCTAGAGGGCGCCAGTATTGGGCGGCGGCTGTGCAGGCCGCGCGAGTCATATAAAGTCCCAGCCGGGCGCCGGGCGGCGGTAGCGCCGCGCCGGACGGCCGCCTATTTGTTATTTATTTATTATTATGTTGTGCGCGCGGTCGTCGTTGTGTCGAGCGATGGTGGCACATTATCGAGTCATCCTCGAGTCCTCATCATGTGCGATTCACGTTACCATTAATGTCCCCGCGATATGTCACCAACTGTAGTGTATATCTTACACAAACGTTCCTCAGTTGTCTTGGGGCTGTCGCCTATTGGTCCAGAAATTATAATGAGGCAAAGTAATGATCAGTCATAATGATATTGATTTACTGCATGCCTATTTTATAGAACTTATAGGTGTCATTCCGTAGAGCTAAACAAATGACAGGTAGGCAACAGCCATTGTTCCCTGTTCAATTTCTGGACCGACAGGCAGCGTACCCTGATTGTTCGCGCCTCGGCATTGATAACATATAGTATGCCATCTTTCCCATGACGTAGAGTTCTAGGCGCCCGTGCTGGCGTAACCTTGTGTTGTCATTGTCAAGGAAAACGGCACAAATGCTGCACTCGGCCGGCAGACCGGTTCCGTGCAGCCGAAATAAAAGCCGTGATTAAGTTTTGCGCATTTCCATTTGCACTTCTCGGAATGTAACCGGCACATTGTACTGAAGTAAGTAGTGGATGACATCTTAGTGTTGCCATTTCCGGCATTCCGACTTCCGAGGTGACTACAAAATAATGCCAAAAGTTTCCGGTGAGATAGATCCTATTCCCGAGGGTCGCTGTTTCTGTACATATGCATTACGCACAGCTGCGGGCCTGGCTCAAGCCAGACCTGTCCGTCGATCTAGTTAGTTACTAGTTAGTTTACAAGTACCGGAACGTATCTGACGAGGCTGTTCACGCGGTGTTGTTCTGTGCTGTCCGCCCGTCTGCCGCGCACCTGGGGAGAGGCTACCGGCGCACCGTGACCTGCGCGTCCCCCGGGACGAGGCTACTCACCGCCGAGACGCCCGCTCGGAGCTCAGCTGCAGGCCCGCTGCGTTACCTCTCTGTAGTCGGGACTGGCCGTTGGCAGCTGGCCCGTGTAGGCTAGAGCGGCTCTGTCGCACTGGATAGGCGGTGTAAGACGGTACAGAATGCTAGTCGAACCGGCGGAGGGACCCTCGCACCCGCGCCACTCAAACCCGGGGTCCGGGCACTGAATGATATGTTTTGCTTATTGTGCTTTGTGTGCGTGTCAGGTTAGATTATTCTTCCGAGGCAGAATCTCACGGGGACGCTGTGCGGCGTTTCCATGGTGACGACAATCTGCGGCGTCTGTATTGCACGTGCCATAGCGAGTGCCGCGATCGGTGTCTGTCATTAGAGTCAGTAATTAGCTCACTTCTGTCTGTCCCTCATAAATATATTTGAGAGTATCATTGATTAAACCGATTGCTAAATTATCAGAGTCAGAATAATACAGCGTAACCTTCGATCCATCAGTGTTTCGTTCGAATAACGAAAACACAACCTTCATGTGAACAAAGCGTGATTCACGGAGGCTCACCGTCAGCTCGGCACAGGGCAGTGGCGAGAATAGGCATAAATGAAAGTAGGTAAAAAAAGCATGATGTCACTGGAGTTTTTTTTGTAGGATTGTGACATTTCATGACGAATGCCGTCGTAAGACGTAAACACGCATTAAATCATCCAAAGTGTCGTATAAAACAATATGAAGTTCCATCGCTTCACCTTTTTTAGCCATGGGTAACAATAGCCGTTTTCGCGACGGCTATTCGCTATGTAGTACCTATTGGGGGGGGGGGGGGCAGATTCTACCCCCCTGTCTAACTTCCGAACCAATGGTCGTAGAAAGACGGGGAAAACGGCAATCTTAAGCGTATCTTAAGAGCCCTTTTTTGCTTCAGTAGGTCAGAGGTCAGGTCAAGGTCAGGTCAAGGTTACAAAATGCAAGTTTCTACAGTATCGGCCTTGCACCGTAGGTGCCGAAGAATGGACTGATACTGATTGCCCAAAACGTGTTTTTAGGCTACCAAAACAATATTCGTTGCTTACAATATCATGCAAAGGTCATGGTCAAGGTCAGGTGAGGTCACCAAAAACGAACTATAGAAAAGGGCATGTGCGACACATGTTTTATGGGTCATTTTATTCAAAGCATTCAATAGGCACACTCAATAAGTGATATGGACCATATCTGGATGAATTTCAGGTCGAGGTTAGGTCAAGGTCAGGTCAAGTGAGGTCAAATTTTGAAGTTGATTGTTAAGACCTAAAAAGGTGTTTATCTGATGCATGGTTTTTCACGGCGAATCTAATGGTGCTATTTTTGTTTCCGTACGAGGTGTAGAAATTAAAAGAAAAATATTTGTTTTTCAAAATTTTTGTGTGGCGTGACGTCATAAAACTTAGAATAACTCCCACATTTTTGAGCCGATTCTTCTAACAATTGGTGTGTAGGTGCACATAGACCAATTCTCTTTTATATGTTCTGTTTTTTTTCGATACGGTCAATATTTTGGATTTTATAACTATTTTCCCGAAAAAGTCAGTTTTTTAAATTTGGGCCAAAATCGGAAGTTTTCAACAACAAAAACGAGACAGCCGTTTGATAGACAAAGTAGAATCACGAATAGCTTTTTTGTTACGTCTTGATTCCTTAAAAAATACAGATGTTAGCGGCGTTTGAAATTTTGCCGTTTTGAGGCGAAAATGGCGTGACATGACGTCACTTACCTAAACGTCATTTTCTTAAAAAAAAAAATCCGACGAATTTCGCTCAAATTTTCAGGGAATATGTTAAATTGATGTATGATAAGGTACTGAAAGTATGACGTCGCTGGCGTGACGCGTTTAGAACTTATTGGCGAAAAACGGGAGGGGGCAGATTCTGCCTCCCAGCGGGGCGCGGTTAAATTAGTTAGGTGCAGATTTGGTCAAATTATGTTCAGTTTGTTTCTTAGCCCGCGCCCCACTGGGGGTTCTGGATTTCCACGCCTTGCTGGGGGGGGGGGGGGTTGAACACCCCCTTCTAACTCGGCTCCTGGGCCACGTAGCGATACGCCAAAGGCGGCGTTCGAAAGAGCGCCAAAAATAATGACGTTATCACTTCCATCTTTTTTTGTTGGTCAGGTCAAAGATCAGTTCACCAGAGGTCATTGAAGGCAAAATTTCGCTGATTTTCAGGGAGAATGTCGACAATTTCCAAGATAGCAACGCATAACTCGGGAACCAATATGAATAGAACTACAGCGCCGACGAAAAGCGCATTCGTTAGCCCTTTAACGCCCTTTCTGAGTAATTTACTCAGATTTGACCTAGCCCAACAGTGTTGCCTGCAGGGGTCAAAAACTGCCAAAAAAACCGATTTTTTTTCGGAAACAGTTTTTCTGCAATAACTTTTGACACAAGCCTTGCACGAGGGTACTTTTACCGGCATCATGTTCCTCTCGTCAAGACGCATCGAAAGAACTATAACTTGACATTGAAAGGTCAACTTGAAAATTTGACCTCAGGTCAAGGCATGACCTGACCGAAAATGGTCATATTGCATATCAGTCGATCCGTATCGTCGAGCTGTACACATCTAAGGCGTTTTCATCGTTCTAGCATGCCTCTACTATCAAAAGTTATTTGCGAAAAACTGTTAAAAACCATTCGTGACCTGAAATGACCTCAGGGGCATAAACAGGGGTCACGGACACCATTTTCATGTTCAGTGTGTCTAGTTTACCTACTTGTAAGTCAGTGTTTGGAGTGTTTATAATGGCTAGTTCGTCCAAAAGCGGCGCATTTCAGTTTTATCCCATTGACTTAGGTAGGTAGGGGAAGCCGGAGGAACCCCGGGCGTGGGGAAGCCCGGCCACCCCGTTTGCGGCTAAATTATACAAAATAAAATGCTAAAGTGTTTGACGTTTGTGCCTTCAGCGTGGCAGCTGAGGTAACGCCAGCGTAAAAGTTAATGTTGACAAAAATTGTATATTGTTAACCCGCGCCCCGTTGGGCTCTGCCGAGCAACGCGCCCCGTTGGGGGGGGCATTTTGCCCCCCCCCCCTAAGATCTCGAGAACCACGCAACGTAGCGACAAGCGGCAAACGGTGTTGGATAGCCCTATCAGGGAACTACCTTGTGACCCAATTTTATTGACCTAGGTCAAACCGATGACGTCACAGGTCAGGTCAAAGGTCCAATTTTCACCGTTTACAGGCATATCAAGCAATGCGTTGTACAATCGAGTAAAATGCATTTCATTGAAAATCATCGATGGGGAAATGTTCTTCAAACACATATTTTGCTAGTTGAGGTCACTGATACCAGGTCAGGTCACAGAGGTCAGGTCACTGGGGGGTCACAATATGAAAGTGTCGTGTGATACATGCTTTATGGTCCATTTAACATGACAAATGCGATTATGTGGGTCAGGCAGCCTTTGGGGCCAGCTTAGGTCACGTTTTGGTCAAGGTCAGGTCAAGGTCAGGTCAAGGTCAGGTCAAATTAGGTCAAATTTCAAAGTTGATATTTTTGCATAAAATGGGTATCGAATCGACGCAGCTCGTCACGGGGAACTCAATGGTGGTCTTTGTTTTGCCGTACGCGGTCTAGAATCGCTAAAAATTGAGTTCAAAAATTTGACGTCATCATTTTTGAACAGTTTTTTCGCTATAACTTGGCCAAAAAACGAGATATCGATCTGAAATTTGGTATGTATATAGAAGAGCGCAGGGACTATCAAATATATTCCGGTTTTTTCGAATTTCGGAAAAAAATTTTGGATTTTTTTTTAGTTTTTCAAAAAAATCAATTTTTTGAAATTTTTCTGGGTCAAAAACCCAAAGTTTTGAAAATCCGAGATAGCAGTTTTGTAGCGCCGCTTTTTGTCTACTAGACCATATAAAGAACTTTGAAATTGCTTGATAATTGTAGATTTGGTGAGCGTTTCAAGATTGCATGTTTTTTGCTCATTTTTGCTCGAACATGACCTCAGTTTGACCTTAATAACTCCTGACCTAAGGTGACCTAAGACTTGAAATTTGGTGTGAAGGTGTCAAATTGATGCCCGGGAAGGTACTGAAAATTTGGCGGCGCTGCGCGCCGCCGTTTTCTTGCTATTCAGGAAAAACCACAGGGGGGCCAAAATGGCCCCCCAACGGGGCGAGGGTTAAAGTTATAGAACAAAAACGAAGGAAAAGGGCCACCTTCGTGAAATATGAAGATATCGTTGCTTTTCATTTTGACATTATTATTTTTCATTTTCTTTTTAAAACTGGTGCCAGAAGTGCACAATTCGCGAAAAAGTATTTAAAACTATTTAACATATTGGTACTATGTTGATACTCTCTACGGCACCTACTGTATGATGGCATAGCGATGACGTCACACTCAAGCCAATCAGCGTTCAGAAGACAGACTCGTCGGATTGTGTCAGATAAGCTGATTGGTTAAAGCTGAGCTGGTTGGAGCTGATTGGTAAAAAACCAAAGCCTCGCCGCGGGTGGCTGTATTGTCGGATAAGAACGCATTCCTGGGATAAGGACGCATTCCTGGCGTATGTTCTTTTAAAATTGCCGATAACTACGAATGGAGGCCGAACTCGGCCTTAAGGAGGTAGACAGTCAGGTTTTCGGACACGGGCTACAAGATGGCTATCTCAGTTTCAATCCCCATGTTAAAGGTGGCCCTTTTCCTTTAAGGGTTTTTAGCTAAAAACTGAGACATGTTGCACTGTTAATGTTACACACGTACAACCCTAATATTTATACGAATGTTATGAAAGGATCGTTTAACCCTCGCCGGACCTATTGGTTTTCTACATACGCGCCGGCCGAGGGGGGGGGGGGGGCCTTGATCAGGCGCGTCGAATGATATACTTTTTGTCCGGGTCAGGTCAACTTGGGGTGTTGACCTCAGGTCAAGGTCAGGTCAGCACCCCCAGGTCACGAAGTTGGTCGAAAGAGGTCATGTCGCATATCATTCGATTCGGCAGGTCTTCCTGAGTCCATTGGTGGCTTTCCCGACTCGCTAGCTCAATTTGATCGGGAGTTATTGACGAAAAACTAATATGACCTTGATGACGTCATAAATGACGTCACGGAAGGTCAACATTGCAAAAGTGACGCATCTAACCTTGCAAGGAGTGCATCAAATCACGATTCTGTGTGCTTGAGATAGTTGGAGATCGTTCCCGGCGCCAGAATAGCAGTTTGAATTTTTCCCCATTGACTTATAATGGTGAGGTCACGAAAATGACCTGACCTCATATGACCTTTAGGAAAAATCCGAGATATACAAGTTGTGAGACTCATAATGGATACTAGATCCTCCAAGTTTCATTTCCCTGTGACATCCCCTCTGGCAGTGAGGGCGTTGCGAAGTTGCGACATCTGAAGACCGTGCAGAGGTTCACTTATGACGTCATAGGTCAGTGACCTGACCTGACCCAAAAATGCGGTTGGTGTCAAAAGATGCGGCTTGGATCAAA